AGAGGATATACTTGAAAGAGGAAACAGGCTACAAGAAAGATTTCATTTCCATCTTGAGGTTGGTTCACATTTTTTTTGCCCCAAGGCAGATGGCAGAGCCCAGACTTTCTGAATGCCCGCGCCCACTTTGAGCTCATCCTTATCCTTGGCCTAATGAGAACAAAGACACCAGACCAACTTTTCTTCTCCCAGCCCGACATGTCACAGACACCTCTCTAGGTCAGCTGTCCTTCTCCCTGCCTGCAAGTTCCCTTTTCTCAGTATCCACTCTCTGTCCGCTTTGCAGAGAGCCTATACATTTATGTGAGGAATAATGTACCACTAGATTATACCAGAGTCTGGATGTTCTGGGATTCAGTGCTTTCTTCTTTCCCCCTCCTCTCTAAAATCATAAATCAACTTTTCTCTCTCGTGCTGATAGTGCAATAGCTCCTCGCAATCTGATCCATTTCTTAAAGAATCACTGTCTTCCATTCTTAAGAATTTTATTTAATGAATGAAGCTAATCTGTAAATAAATATAAGAGCAACTTTGGTACCTTCCAAATAATCGCTGGGTACAGCACTGGATGCATACCGCCCACGTAATATTATCATTGCCGTGACGCACAGGGCTTTTTTGAACGCCTTGTCCTTACAGTTAGGAGTTTCGCTGCTCCCACGAGAAAAAGAGGTGAGAGATATGAGACGTCAAGTTGGGGAAGGAGCTCTTCCCTCTCCTCCCACATTTCCCACAAAACACACCCAGGCAGCTACATCTCCACAGCGCCTTGGAGTTCGGAGGCTGGGGGACAGGACAGGACCCAACACAGAACCTCACTTGCATTAAGTTCATTCTTTGTGTGTTTGAACACATTTTAGTTTCCTAAAATTGTTAACTCACTCCCTTCTGTTATAGGCTGCCTGCAGAACGCTAAGGAAACATATTCTTAGGAAGGAACTGTTTACTAACAACAATATGTTCATTTTCTCCGCAATATATAACTGATAAATATTAACAGTGCCTGATGAAATACTTTATCTGAGAAGAATCACTATGTCTCTATTTAGAAAAGAATCATAAATTGTTTCAAAGCCTTCAAAAAGTGAGAAAAGAAAGACAAGGCTTTTACCTGTTCAGATTTAATCACCTACCATAAATATTTCAATTTGCAAACAAGTTTCCCCCTACCATCCAATACAACTATAGTTTTTATTCATGAAAACTCTGAATAATGTGCAAGAAGGCACATTACAGTTTTAAAAACTGTATTCCAAAGGTGACGTGTTCGGCCAGGGCAAGGATATTTATGCAACTAACTCAGGTATTTATACACCTGAGAAACACAGCACTCATGGGTAATGCAAAAGCTGCATCCGAGCAACTGTTCTTTTCTAACTACATTAATACGTCAATATTTAAACAAACATGACAGTTTTCCTTACAAAACGAACAGTGAAACTTGCCATCAGCTCAACGCTGTTAAGTAGCAGGGCTGTGAGTATGCAGTACCAGAGACAAATGTTATGGAGCAACAGATTTATTTTAATACAAAGAAGCAACCCAGGGAATGATGTTTAAGGCATTGGAGAGAGGTCAAAAACTGTTTTTTTCCCAACAGAACTAAAATATGAAAAAGGAGGCACTAACGAAGAAACGTAAAGGAAAACATAGGGGATAATACTAAAAGCATCAATATTAAACTTTTCCTGGACACTAGGGCTACATGTTACCTCTCACATCCTGGTAACCAGCAAAGACAGTTAAGCGCTTCCCAAAAAGTTGTTCTGCAGAATTACTGACAAATTTGTGTCCTTCATCCCCTGCACAGTATGAACACTATTAACCCTTGCTTCCTCACTTCTCCCAAACAGCTTCCCCTGCCAGTAATTCGGTTAGAGGCTGAACTGACCCCAAACAAGCGCACCTGTGTTGACTCAACACTCCAGTAATTTAAATCTTTCTTCTCTACCTACCCAGTAATTTGTATCAATCTCCTAGGAACTTTGCATCACTGATGCTTCCTCCCACGCATCAAACTTGTTTCAGGCAAGCAATTACAAGTGATTCGAGGGGACTGTCCTACAGGCAAAAGACAGAGTGATTGCCTAAACCACCTCCTTAAGACTACCACAGACCAAATAAAATAAGCATCCAGTTTTGAGCTGCAAAAACATATTAGTTGTTGACTCGTGCATTATGTTGGCAAGCACAAAGATAAACAACGCAATAAAATCATAGGCCAGGCAGAGCTGTTCCAACAGAGATGGCATTAAAACCAAACTAAATCAACCTCTGCACTGAAATTGCTGCTCAGCTTTCCACAATGAAACATGCTGCAGTTCTCCGGACATTTTGAGACTTGTTAATTAGGTAATGTATAGCTGACCATTAACAAGCAGCAGTGTCATGTGAAGGGATATTAATATAATGAAGAGTGGAAAGGAAGGAGACAGAGGCAGGCTTTGGGCACTTGCAGCAGTGTGCCAGGGTTTTGTTGTGATGCCCAGATCCTCCCCGGGGCTGTAGGTGTAACCTAAAGCCACGGTCAGACAGGTGCTGACTGTGGCCATCTGGATCCAGAGAAACTGCCAGCCCCAGAACAAGGTCTGGAAGTGGGGTCAGTCATGGCCCTAGAAACCTATTTCACATGAACAAAAAAAAAAAAAAAAAACACACACACACACCAGAAAAAAAAAAATATATATATATATGGGTAGCTTGGGTTAGGATCTGCTAAAGTTGAGCTCCATAAACGTGCTTTGAATCTCACACATGTATAAATCACAAGCAATCACAGTGATGTGAGTGATCATACCCAAGTTAGAACCCGCTGCAAGAGAAAAGGAAATTCCCTCGTGTTCTGTTAATTCTCATTCAAGTTATCTTTGTGAAGAAACTTGTTTTGGTATTTCCATCAATTCCAGAAATGAAATTATGTTATCAAATATTGACCTTTTTTCCTACCATCTTTTTAACACCATTCCCTGGTTTGATTTTGATAATGACCAATTAAAACAGCTTTTCTTTTTTTTTTTTTTTTTTGCTTCTGGGTTTTAGTTAACACTTTTTAGAAATTATTTAAAGAATGTAGGACAGAAGTGTTGCATTATTCACAGAAGTGTATCAAAGAAAAGCTGCATGAAATCTTGACATTAAGAAAGAGATTTTTCCCTGCCTCAAACTGTGCCAAATGAGTCACTTTTATTCAACACTTGTTACAGCAACAGAAAGGATAAAATAAAGTTATTGCTGCCTAGTTTCAATATGTTGGGTACTGTTAAACAAGATGCACATTATGACAGTACGTGGATTTTATAGCTCATGTAAAATATGATGTTAAATCAAAGAAAAAACAGAGTAACAAGGACAAATCCAAGTCAGAAACTGGAATTAATTTGTTTTGGGAGTCATATCCAGCAGTCACCCAGTACAGAGTGAGAATGATCTTCATCATGTAGTTGTAGCAGCCACCCTAAACTTAGCTGTCCTCATGCAGCTCCTGGTAAGAAAAAAAAAAAAAAAAACCTACAAAAGCAGCAAAGCTATGCTCTCATAGCATTGTAGTAGCATGATTTTATCACTATACAGCTTGCCTCTTCTCCATTTTTCCAGTCACTTCTGGGCTTTAGCTTCTTTTTGATACTAGTTCTCTCAAAAAAAAACAAGGAAAAGAAGATTGCAGACAATTACCTTGGTAGCATTGCAAGTTTAAAATCTATAAGAGCAGTGTTAAGACAATTTAGAGATGATTATTGCTTTCATGCTTTATTTCTTCATTGATATTTGTTCTGATTGGCCTCCCCCGCACCCACTCTCCCTTGAAGTTTTTCTTAACTCTTGACAAGGAACTAACGTTGGTTATGTGATGCAAGCAAATTAAACTACCTGTTTCTGGTTAGGCATGTGGTTTGGAGAGGCAAATTTAATTCATAGCATATTGAGTTAATACAGCTCTCTAAATCTGAAGACTTCTCTGGCAGTAAAGGAAATAAAGCTTATCTATGAATATGCAATTACTCTGCATGACAGACGTGTGAATTTGTTATTTCTTTGACTACTTCGTATACAATGTCATATCAATGCTCTGAAAATCAACTTAAACGTCAGCAGCTTCATTTCTTAAAATCAGTGGCAGAGGCGGTACTTACTACAGAGAAACATTTTCTTATAAACAGTTATTAGGACTGTCTCTTGACGTCTTATTTTTAATAAGAAAAACAAACGAACAAACAAAACAGAAAACAACCAACTAACAAGGAATTAAATAAAATACTTCTGTACACAATTTTCCTGCAGTTAAATCATGAAAGGCTACATTTTGAAAGGTTTTAACAGTTTCTGTAGTATTTAATAACATGCAATTCTTCAGGAGCAGAATATATAACACTATGTAAATAAACTACATGGACAAACTGCCTGCAAAGCAACTCATATTTTGCACCCATTTTATTTTGCACCCATTTTACATACTTGCTTACAGGGCAAGGTTTTTTGTTTGGCTTTTTTTTTTTTTTTTTAATTAAAAGCCTGAAAATAATGAAATAACAGTTAAAGCCAGGTAGGCAAGACACAATTGTGGACAATCAGATACCTTGACATATTTTATATTTACCCATCTCTTCTGTAATTACCCTGAGAGCAGATTTTCCATAATACCTACTTTAAGGCATGATATGGCCCTCTAACATAAGTTCCCCATTACATTTGAAAGGCACTGCCATTTCCACGTACCCCCTTCTCCACCACTGACCCAGGACAGAAGGTTTCCCCTCTGCACAACACAGGAACTACTTCTTCAATCCCCAGTTGGACAGAAATCCAATTAAAGACATGTAAGCCCTGTTCAGAAATGGATTCATTTTTCACACAACTCTTCTCATCGTCTTGACATGCTGGAGCAGTCAACCGTAATTGGGAGCAAAATTGTGAAGCTGTTCTTTCGTAAAAGAGCCTCGATATTGCTACCAGAAGGCTCACAAACTCTGAACTCATTAGCTCTCAAAATTAAAAGCACTTACCTCTTCAAGGACATCTGCAAGCTTACTAAGTATCTCCTCAGGAAGGCTCTGGAATGTGGGAACGCTGCAATACAAGAGAAACTTCGATTAATGGATACTGCTGTGTATTTCTTAAACCCAGCTGTAGTTCTTACATAACTTTCACGCATATTTAGCCCTCATCATTTGGGGCTGAACAAGAGTTCACCAGAAGACCAGCATATATAATGGGAAACCAATCTTTGCCTTCCAGCCAAGAGGTATTTTTAAGCGTTCACTTGCTACAATGGGAGACTACTTGCAGTAAACATCTGGAGAACCACTTGTAAATCTAGTAATCAACTATGAATAAATTACAGATTTACTGGAATGAATCTGTGCGGCAAACCTGTTCAGTCCACACACATGACTGTACTAAAGTTTCCTGCTTGAGCTCCATTACACCAGAAATACAAAAAAAAAAAACAACAACAACAAAAGAGATCATTTCTAACCAACGATACATAAAAGACTGAGTGAAACTACATACAGACATAAACGCAGAATAAGGGTAAGGGAACTGTAACAAACCTGAATCAAACAGCTGTTATAATTATTGAGTACCTCATGGGAGAGCTTTACATCCAAGGCTTGTTTGTTTTCTTTTGCCAAAACACCAACTTTTCTACTTTTTTTATTTTTTTGGTAGTATTTCCCTTGGCAAAGGTCTCCCACACCTGCATGGACTTGCTGGTCAAGATGGGAGCGGTGCACCCATAGTCCACAGAACTTTAATTCTGTCTGGGGGAGGGTGAGGGATATGAAGCTGTCTCCAAATCTCCTGCAAGTACCCTGACCTTATCTGAGGTCAGGGTGCATCTCCACGACCTTACAGTCTCGACCCAGAGATCCCAGCCACACTGCGACCCCTTGCTCTCTCATTTGCCGTTTTCCATAGAAGCTCGATGTTCACCAGCATTCCCATGTGATGCCAAACAAAACACATGGGCACAATGTTTGTTTCAGAGGCAGGAAGGCAGTGCTGTACCTGCTTTAATTAAAAATGCTTGTCATCGGCAGCCTAATCAGCAATGTAACATGAGCTATTAGCTCAAACATAGCACTGAGCTGATACAGCTCTTTTGAGCCTATTTCCAAGAACAGCTTGCTCAGGATTTGCTTTATCATGCTCCATTACAAGGCATAAACATAATCTTATGCTGCTAATATTAAATTTAGATCCCCAGTGTGTTGCTCCAGTTTCAGGAACACTGATGTTCAGGTGCAAAGCTAGGAGGGAGCCGACTGCTGGGGGGAGTTTCCTACAGAGAGGCAAATATAACCCTAAATAAATCAGATTTTGCCTTTCATGCGAGTTTTCACATGTTATTTTTGATCACGTACAAGTTATTTGCCATGATTTGTAGAGCTAAAACCCCAAACCCACTAGGTTTTTGCAACCCAGAACCTGCTGAAGAAAAAGTCCCGTCATTTGACTGTGGGGCAATTAGACCGTTTAGGTTTCAGGAGCCTGGAACAGTTTCTGAATACAGAATTTGATTACTGGTAGTGTACCCGGAGAAAACCCAGCCACAAAAAAACAAAAAGAGAGGACAGAAGACCTCGCAGAGATCATGCTAGCAAATAGTATTGTGCCTGAGGCCAAGCTTTCCTGTTACATGAAGTGCCCAGTGAACTTAATTTGTGAGCACAGTTAAAGCAGAATTTGCTTTTATTAACTTAAATACATTCTACTCTGTAATGGAATTAAGAAGGACTTCTAAATCTATTTCTCTCTCTCTCTTTTTTTTTTTTTTTAAATGTAACTTTAACTGAACATGCAAATTAGTAACAGGACAGAACCAGCCGGCTATGTGCAGAAAACTGTGCTTGTTCTGGCTCTCAGCTTTTTTCTGCTTAGGAAGCGCTCCTTTTCAATGACAATACCTGGCTCCACAATGCAACGTGAACACAAAACAAACAAAAAGGAGTTATACGGTGTCTGCTCATGACACCAACACTTACATTCCGACACGAGGAATTAACTAGTGGGAGAAGGTAACACTCCCAGACATCTAGACAAGTTCTGCTGTGGCTGCCCCACAGCACTCCTGAAAGGGGGGACAATTCACTGCAGTATTTTCATTAATATATTTTGCTAATTATGTCCTGTGAGTCTGTGCAACCCACAGGAGGGTAGCAGAACACATTCATTATATGCCAAGCACAGGAGAAACATGGGAATATCAGGTAACCTCTGAATGAATTGGTAATTTTATTATTGAAAACCTGTGATATTAAATAAACAAGGAAAATTGCCTAGGAGAAATGCTTATAACTTAAAATCAGCAATAGAGAAAGTCAGCTTGTTGACACAACAAGCTCCAACTAAGGCACATCACAGACGTAGTATCCTGCTCAACAGCTAGAGGTAGCAGTACAGCCAAATTGTACTGGGGTTTCATCATAAGAAGTTAAGAAGTCTTACAAGACTCAAGACTGCTCATCACTTCAATACCAAAAAAAAAAAAAAAAAAAAGATAAATAAATAGAGCTGCCTACCCCAAAACAAATAAGCAAAAACAGAAAGACGACCCATACTGAACAAATGTCTTTTGAAAAAGCAGAAGGAAAACATTCATCGACCTGTTAAAAAAAGTGTTATAAATTTCTGCAAACAGAATTGATGATAGCAATGATAAAAACAAGATTTGAAAACACACTCAAGTGTGCAACAGTACTGAATACTTGGTTTAATTCTCCAGATCAAATATATGTAAACACACACACACATACCCCTCCATAACAAGATTAAACAGTCTTAAAATAGATCCTTACTTGCCTGCTCTATGAAGATTTGCATATGATGATCAATATTTTGGAGACTATTTCATGCAGGTAAATGCACTCACATGAAAATGGAGCCTCAACTCTAAAGGGAGAGCTTTGTGGAAAGCATCTGAGCAGCAAATTGCTGCGCGTTGGAAAATGTACACTGGGAAGACAAACAGGAGCAGAAGGCACCAAAGAAAGAAACCTTTGAAGATTTTGCAGCACTACAGGTAAGAACAGTTAGATTCTGTTTTCTACTATTTTGTGAAACTGAAATCTGAAAACATGCAAACCAGATAATTTAGCATTTCAATTCAGATGTATTCATTAGTTATGATGGAAGAAGTCACAGCAAACAAGTCTCTATCTCATCGTGAAATCATTTACCCTGTGCACAAGTCTAAAAAAAAAAAAACAAACAAACAAACAAAAAAAACAGGGCTACATAAACGCAGACTTTCTCTGACAACTTCTTTTCTCCCCAGTCCTTAAAAACCTTCAGTAACGAAGGCTTTAAAACATCCATGTAATCCATTCTAGATCACAATTGCTACAGCTAGAAAAACATTTTGGTATCTAATGCTCATACCTCTCAGCACACGGCACTTCATCTTACCCGCAATCCACGTGAAGGAGTTTATTCTACTTCCCTCCATAACCACCACCCACACAGACAAGGAACCTCACCTTTTGTAGACTAACACTAACATCTTATTTAGCCTTTCCTTCTAAGCGGTGTTTCCCACAAGTCTGATGATCCAGTCCTGGGGGCTCCCTCCAGCTGTCTCTTATTCCAAACATTGAGCAGCAATTGCTCTACCTGCACTGAATAATTTATTGTGCAGCTGACTGGAAGGGGAAAGATCTGCATTCAGACCCACCCAGGCAGAAATGTGAACGAACACCCATCTTGTTCATCGTGGGTGAATACCTTGATTGCTCATTCCTAGGACAGAGAGAGGGTGACCAGGGTTTTCTCTGCTGCCTAATCCTTTAAATATATTTTGTGAAAAAAAATGGTGATTAATTGCAGAAGCAGCTCCAACTCTACTACAAATTCCCCTGTGAAACAAACAGCTGACTGGTGAACAACACTGCAATACTTAATGCCTGTAACACTGATCAGTTAAAAAAAAACAAACGCACTGAAACCCCACCTATGGACTGTAATTAATGACATAAGATAAGGCTCTATATGGAACAGAGAGGACTTTCACAACTGAAATTCTGCTCACCTGTAGTCTCCCCCTGCTCCTCTAAGTTTTTTATTGTGATATGGGTGCTCAACAATATTTCTGTTATTTATGCCTGTTTTATATGACCTGTCTGCAAAAGTACAGTCCAAAACCCACCTGAAGAGTGACCTCCAGGCCATCCTACAAAGCTGCATAAGAGCACACGATGAGGAAAGGAAAAACAGATCCCTAACCAGTGTTTTCTGCCTGGTTAGTAGCTTCATGGTTCAAGTCTGCATAAGAAAATTGAATTTTACAGCAAACAGCAATAAACATCATGTTTTTAAATCAATCCAAAAACACTACAACACTGTATCATTTTCTGTCCCAAACCTTGTTAGATTTTTCCTTTGACCACGAAACACAGAACTGAACTAGCTGTACCTGTGGAGCTGCTCAGGCTGGCAAGAAGAGGTGGCTTTTTGTTAGCTATATTCCATGCCATTCAGCTATGGAACTATTTTGTACTATTTTTGCTATTGTACTATGTTTGCTACTGTGTACTTGATGACAATCCGTACACCTTGTGAGGGCACTGTGGGGAATTGCTTGCTGTCAGTAGGAACTGCAGAACAGCTTTTCCTGTTGGCTCTAGAAGCTAACGTTTTCACAGGGAGCTCAACATGTTAAAGAAAGGATGCCAAAATTGGGAAAAACAGCTGTGCAAAAGTGTCCATGTGGAATCTCCATCCAAATACAAAAGCAAAGATCTGCCTGATCTGAAGGGGGTGGAAGGAGGTGTGAAAGGTGAGGTTTTGATTCCTAGTGATCTGCAGTCATTGACTTTTAGATGGAAGCATTGGTAACAACCATGATCTGCAGGAAAGTGCTGTGATGTAGGCGACTGTGTAACTTTTGATTCATCCCATGGGACTACCCCTGTATAAAACCGGCAAGGGCTTCCAAATATTCCTGGCTGTAACCCAAGGGGCTGATTTTACCTTAAAAAACACTTAGCAGCACAGATGCCAGCTTGCAGACAGCACATCTGTCTTCTGACATGCATGAAAACAATGCAGAGTCCTTAGATGTCTTCTGT